CCCCCCCCGTTTTCCCTTGCTCCGCCCCCTTCCACGATCCCTTCGGCATCACTTTCGTTCCCGCATGGTTGAGGTTCTGTTCTCCCTCGTGCCAGGCGCGCGGCCGCCGCACCAGCAGCAGGTGCTTTTCTATCATCATACCCTTCCCTTTAAACCGAAATAAATCTGACAGTGTGCGGGCGATTCCGTTGCCTCAGCTGTTGCAGGAGGGTGTGCTCGAGGAGGGCTAGAGCGGCTGGATTATTTGGCAACTGCACCAGCCACCAGTACTGTTGGTGTTTTGTGTACATTTATTTTTTGCGGTGGGGGGTCTCATCGGCCGATTCACGCCACGCGCTCTCTGTCCTGCATTGCCGCCATCTGCCGCCCGCGTTCAAGTCCCTCGATCAGGTGGTCGGTCGTGCTGCGAAAAGGAAAAGTGAGTGATCACATCCCTGGCGGGGGTCGAACCCGCGACCTTCGGATTAGAAGTCCGACGCGCTATCCACTGCGCTACAGGGACCGCCTGGTGACCGGCGCGCCCGGCGGCCGTGTCCTGCCGAGCCTAGGCGGCGGCGCGCGCGTGGCGGGCCGGTGCCTGATCCGAGGCTGAGGCTCAGCCTGCGAGGCCTGCGGGCTCAGCTCAAGCTCAGCGCTGCCGTGCCGCGCAGGCTGCGCCAGCCGCCACCGGGGCCTTGATCTTGTGCGGTGGAGAGCCGAGAGATGAGACGTCGTGGGCCAAGGCGTGGCGCTTCTGTCCGCCTGTCTGTCTTCCTCTCTCTCTCCCTCGCACGCCAGCAGCCATCATCATCACCACCCTTTTCTCTCTTCCTCCTTCGCGGAAATGAAACACCGCCGAGCCGTATCCCCGCGCGGATCGGCGCTGCGAGGAGACAGAAACAGGAGAGACGCCTTGTACTAGTGCCATGCCCGCGTCGTAGCCTACATCCGCCTGCAGCCTCCCGCCCTCCCACACCGACGTTGCCTCCGCAGGAAAAATGGTCCGCTTTCGGAGCCAATGAATGTCATGCTGAATGACAGCGCCTCTCGCGTTTTAACAGCTGGGTTCAGCGGTTCGCGCTGCAGAGAGTTCACTTACCCGGAGGATGAAACAGTAGGGGCCTATGACCTATGAACCTCCCGAATCGCTTCACTGGGGTGCACCTTATCCTCCGCCACCCGCTACTTCGGGGGTTAAAACCGACTCCAGAGTCGGGTAGTTTAGAGGGTTCAGGCTTACTCAACCGGGATACAAGACCGGCGCCGCATTTTCCCCCTCCCACTAGGTGGCTATGGCTAGGGTCGTAGCCGAGGTGACCGCTGGGCCGTGGTGGACCACATGAGGGCCGCGCTCGGCGCCTGTTTGTTTGGGGCTCCTGTCCGGGGATGGTCATGGCCAAGGTGAGCGCGAGCCATGCTGGTATGTGTATGTGTGTGTGTGTATGTGTGTGTGTGTATGTGAGAGAGAGAGAGAGAGAGAGAGAGAGAGAGAGAGAGAGAGAGATATACTGCTACGTCCTACGCCCCTGGATCGGTGCAGTCGGTGCTGCAGTAGCTTCTGAGGAAGGCAAGGGAGAGGGCGTGGAAAAAAAGTAGGTAGAAAGAAAATAGTTAAAGAAACACCGCGTGACATCGGAGATTGGGGCACAGGCACAGCGCCATCCGCGCAGACCCCCCC